AGCTGGGTACAATGCCTTTCTCATTCAATGCCAGTCTACTAGTCTAAAGCTGGGTACACTGCCTTTCTCATTCAGTGCCAGTCTACTAGTCCAAAGCTGGGTACAATGCCTTTCTCATTCAATGCCAGTCTACTAGTCTAAAGCTGGGTACACTGCCTTTCTCATTCAGTGCCAGTCTACTAGTCCAAAGCTGGGTACAATGCCTTTCTCATTCAATGCCAGTCTACTAGTCTAAAGCTGGGTACACTGCCTTTCTCATTCAGTGCCAGTCTACTAGTCCAAAGCTGGGTACAATGCCTTTCTCATTCAATGCCAGTCTACTAGTCTAAAGCTGGGTACACTGCCTTTCTCATTCAGTGCCAGTCTACTAGTCCAAAGCTGGGTACAATGCCTTTCTCATTCAATGCCAGTCTACTAGTCTAAAGCTGGGTACACTGCCTTTCTCATTCAGTGCCAGTCTACTAGTCCAAAGCTGGGTACAATGCCTTTCTCATTCAATGCCAGTCTAGTAATCTAAGGCTGGGTACACTGCCTCGCTCATTCAATGCCAGTCTATTAGTCTAACTCGGGCTACACTGCCTCTCTCATTCAATGCCAGTCTATTAGTCTAAGGCTGGTACAATGCCTCTCTCATTCAATGCCAGTCTATTAGTCTAAGGCTGGGTTCAATGCCTATCTTTCAATGCCAGTCTATTTTTCGAAAAGCTGGCCATACAATAGAAGCTTCTCTCATTCAATGCCAGTCTAGTAATCTAAGCCTGGATACACTGCCTTTCTCATTCAATGCCAGTCTAGTAATCTAAGGCTGGATACACTGCCTCTCTCATTCAATGCCAGTCTAGTAATCTAAGGCTGGGTACACTGCCTCGCTCATTCAATGCCAGTCTATTAGTCTAACTCGGGCTACACTGCCTCTCTCATTCAATGCCAGTCTATTAGTCTAAGGCTGGTACAATGCCTCTCTCATTCAATGCCAGTCTATTAGTCTAAGGCTGGGTTCAATGCCTATCTTTCAATGCCAGTCTATTTTTCGAAAAGCTGGCCATACAATAGAAAAACAAATTCTGAACAAAGAAATCAAACAGCTTTCTTCTATAAGCCGAAGCCTTTGTGGGTATGGTGCTGTCAGATTGGCTGCAGTCACTGTCCAGCCAAGAATTTTTAGCCTGGCCACTTCGATTTTTAGATCGAAGAATGTTGGCTTGGAGGGCCAACCACAAAGAGAATTTGGCCAGTTCATTTAGATTTGCTCCCTGTATGTCCAGCTTAAGGATCTAATCAAACTTTGCCATTTTTGTGCATTGGCCATTCTTTTCAAAGAGGCAGCAAATGCACAAGAACAGACAAAATTTTTTTTTAAATACACGCAGCCTTTTTGTATTTAGACGCAGCACACCCCAACAGCCATTAGTGCATCTGGGCTGCAACCCACTAATGCACATAACATGCATTACTGCAGTGTACTGCATTGCAAAAGTATGATCTGCCCCTAAACGTAGATGCAGGTATTTAACCTGTCAGGTTAAAACTATGCAAGATGCAAGGTTCCTATAATAAAAGAGCTATACTCAGATCTCCAGCAACCTGTGTCTTCTACCTGCCCACTGTTATGGCACTTCAGCCACCTGAAGACTCTTCTGCTTTCCAAACTTCTAAAAGTGTTGGGTTCCTGGGTCCCCCTGCCAAGCGCTGTGGTTCCATCCTCCTACCCCTATGTCACTACAGGACTCAGCAGTGATTTGGAGATAGGAGGATGGAGCCACAGCACTCGGCAGGGGCCCCCAGGAACCCAACACTTCTGGAAGTCTGGAAAGCAGAAGAGTCTTCCAGAGGATGAAGACTCCTACTCTTCCAAAGTAACAACTACTTTATATTTGCTATATGTTTCTCATTCACATTGCATAACTTAAAGGAGAACTATGCTTTTCACTCACCTCATAGTTTTAGCCGACCTGTGACAATGAAACTGTCACAGGTCGGCTCAGTAGATCGGGAAGTGAGCGAACACATACCGGCGTTCGCTCACCTCTCGATCCTGTCACGGCTCACTGCCGTGCCAGGGGAGGGGCTGGATTCCCCCCTCTCGCTCCGATCCGCCAGCGCTCACTGGCGGAACGTACAGGGGAGGGGGCGGGTACAGTTGGCTCTGCCTCTAGATAGGCAGAGCCAGCTGTCAGTCACGCAGCTGGCCGGATCCAGACATAATTGTCGGGATCCGCTTCAGCTGCGGCGTCTCAATATACATAACCAACATACAGAGTAGTTTTCTCAAATTTGACTGCGCAAGTGGAAATATTGTGCAGTGCAGATTCTTTTCATATACAAAATCTCATCAGAACATTCGATAATGCCGTCAGAGACTCGACGAATGTCATTTGTAACAATCAATTTTGGAAATGAATGAAGTTTCCTGAATGAAAACCACAGCTTTAAGAATGTTAGAATTTTGTTTGAGAAAACTTCTCTATCCTGCTCCTTTAATTTTCATCTCTGTAGTCAAAAGTGATCGTTGATTTGACGCCATTAACTATTAGAGAATCAAACCAACGTTCTGCAAAGGATTTTCTTTAAGAACCAAAATTCTGCTCTTGTATGGCCAGGTCTAGACTGTCTTAACTGTGAATGGTCATGTGGATGTCAGGAACAGAAGCAATATTATCTGGTTTTACAGACTGAGAAGAGACATTTATGTTGTGATATGTTCCTCTGCCTCAGTGGCGCATAACAGGCTTTGTGGTCTGTCCTCACAAAGAGATAATCATGGTTTTATGGTGGTCTCATGTGGCCAGATTCCTTTCAAGGCAGGAAACTTATAAAAGATGCATTTTACCGTTCTCTACATGGAAGCATCCTTTTGTTTGTATTTTACTGCACGTTTTCTTTAGGGACTTAAAGCTGCCTATAGATGGACAGATAACTCATTGAGAATGACAGTAGATGAAAGGCATGGCCACGGGGTTGACATGCACCCAGAAACACATTCACTGTCTGTGAAAAGGCCGGACACTGTGCTATTTCTCATGTTTGATGAATCACTATGCAGAACCCTGCGTAGGTTACATTAGAAATGTTAGCTCTTATGGCTCATTTGCACCAGCGGTTGCATGTTAAAGGAAGCATGACGTGTGTGTTTTGTAACAGGCTGCGCTGTAGAACGCATAGCAGTGCTTGCTTTTTTTATTCCTTTTTTAAGTCCTAAACTTGACACACTTCATTTAACTCTATGCATGGCAGTGCGTTGTGACGAGTTATAGTGTGTTGGATTGGAACGCACTATGCAAAAATGCAACATGTCCTACTTCTGTTCAATGCACACCAATGCTGTGTTGGCGTGAACTAAAGCAATAGAATATGGAGCAAATTGCCACCAATGTTGGGGTGAATTGAGACAATAGGACATTTAGCAAATTACCACCAATGTTGGCGTGAACTGAAGCAATAGGACATGGAGCCAATTGCCACCAATGTTGGCGTGAACTGAAGCAATAGGACATGGAGCCAATTGTCACCAATGTTGGCGTGAACTGAAGCAATAAGACATGGAGCCAATTGTCACCAATGTTGGCGTCAACTGAAGCAATAGGACATGGAGCAAATTGTCACCAATGTTGGCGTGAAATTAGACAATAGTACATGGAGCAAATTGCCACCAATGTTGGCATGAACTGAAGCGATAGAACATGGAGCCAATTGTCACCAATGTTGGCGTGAAATGAGACAATAGTATATGAAGCAAATTGCCACCAATGTTGGCGTGAACTGAAGCGATAGGACATGGAGCAAATTGCCTCCAATGTTGGCATGGGGTCAGTCAGTACATGTGCTGACAAGAAGCATGTTGATAGAAGCAGAAGCGACAGAGATGAGGTCATCACTGTGCTGCTTCTTTTTCAATGTTCAATCACAGGTTGGGCTAGGTCCAGGGCACCAAGCTCAGAGGAAGTGAGTTGAATGATGCTGGCCATCAGACAGAGGACATCTAGTGGCAGAAACTAAGTACTACGGAGGAAATGTCAAAATTTAAGCTGAATATTACAGCAAAAGCTGGTTTTGTTACTTTCTGTTTTGATGGGTTATTCACTTGTATCTTTATGTTTTGGTTGAAGTTATGTTTAATGCATTCCTGAGAGCTAATCCCTAACAAGTAAGTGGGGAAACAGTGGTGAAATGTTTTTGCATGCTTGTGCAAGGAGACGACCCCTCTGGTACTGCCCTTATCTTAAAAGAAGCACTAACGACCTTTCAGGAAAATCCATTATTTCTAAAAAATAAATTGCCAACTCCACAGTGTCTGCAGTGGTCAGGCAGAAAAACCCAAACCACCACTATGCCAATCTTATGTATATGGGAAGATGGGTTTGTTGTGTCTGTTTAATTTAAATTTGACTGGTGTGGATGGTTCTTCTTACTCTTCATATGTTGAGGTTGTGCAGGTATGGGAAATAATTTGTCTTCAGTGCCGCTTGTCTTAAGTAGTACCTTATCATTATGGCCTCATTCACACGGGAATCGGCCCGCACGTACAGCTCCTTACCGAGCAGCTCCTGGGAAGGACAGGTGTTGCGTGTGATTAGTATGCAGCCCCCGTGCTTCTCTATGGGACTACACGGCCGTACGCCAGCCTACGCTCACTTCAAGTGTAGGTCCATGCGGGTGCGTGTTTTCCGGCTCGGACGCAGACAGGATGCATCCTGTCAGTGTACGAGTACGCACACCTGCACCCGCACGGACGTGCAGGGCGGGTGAGCGTAGGGGGGCGTACAGCAACGTAGTCCTATAGAAAAGGACGGGAGCTGCGTACTAAATCACATGCAGCACCTGTCCTTCCCGGGAGCTGCTTGGTACGGCCCTGCACGCAGCACGGAGCTGTACGTGCGGGCCGATTACAGTGTGAATGAGGCCTATATATCTTATTTATGTACACGGTTCTGTTTTTCTAAGAATGCAAAGAACATTCGTAAGCTACCCTTTTAATTCAACGGTTGTCCTGTCATTTGCAGAATTATTTAAATTAAACGTGTTTGGAAGCCTGAGTAGCCTTCCGAGGGCTTTTCGTAGACGGCAATCTCAAGATACAAATTTAAGCAGTAACGCCAGCTTCGATAACATTTTAGAGAAGACTCAGGATGACCTCACCAGCATACCCAGGAGCCCTTCCTATGCTCGGTCTAGTGACATGTACAGCCACATGGGAACAATGCCAAGATTCAACAAGAAAACTTTCAAATCCAAGAGGGAGAAGAGCAGGCCAGATCCACCCCCCATGATGTCACAGTCAGTAAGTGACCTGTTAGATGATGAATCCAATGAAATTATAGTGGTTCCATCTGTGATGGCGGCCAAGAAAGCAGTAATGAAAACACAAGGTTCAAACTCAAGTGTAACTAATGAACATGATGTTGAGAACGATCACAAGAAGGGTAATCTAAGATCTGACCCAATGGACAACCCAAGTAATCCTCCTTCAAACACTCTCTATGGTGGCAAGCACGACCCAAATGACTTGGTGGGGGCAGAGAGTTCCAGAAAACAAAGTCAAGAATTGGTAGAGAAGAATGTACAAGAACATGACACAGTAAACTGCGATGAAAGGTAAAGTGTTAAAGTCTAATTTTATTATCATCATTGTTTAATATTTTATCATTATTTATATAAAAAATTATGAAAAGAAATCAACTTTAGAGGCAAGTCAGTATTCCATTTGCAGCATCTCTTCTCAGATGATTGGTCACAAAGTTCCCTGCACAGATTTTCACTCCTCCCCTAAGGAATTTTCTGTTCGACCATCAAGTTCATAGTTGCTCCACTGACCACTGACCTCATCCTGCTAGTCTACCAGAATGCGTACCTAACAGTTAAGTTCTCACACCTTCAATGTCATGGCTACTCTCCTCCATGGTGTGGCCTACCATGCCTCTTTACAGTCACCATGCTGTCTGACAGTCACATGATGAAAAACAGAATTGAAGAAACTCTTGGGGGTTGCACTGGGAAATTGATACTTCTGGGAGGAGCAATTTCCTAGGTCCCCTCAGCTCTCACTGGTTCCCCATGCTGACCTCCATGATGTTGCTGTATCTTGTAATGAAATCCGCTGTAGGGATCAGTGAGAGCTTTGAGGGGCACAGAAGACTGACACTTCCAGAAGTGTTGGTTTACCAGCAGATCTCAAAGGAAGATATCCACAGGCAGTGGAAAAGGTAAGTATGCCCTCTCTATTTTACAAAGATACTTGTTTAAGATACTTCTACCTGACTGATGGATTCGTCGATTTAGTCCCTCTGTTAAAACCAAATCCTTCTGTCCTTTTACTTGTACCTCTTTTTGGTCTGATGTACAGATATCTATGATAAGCTTCTATTTAACTTTCAGTTGTGTTATTTTGCACTCAAACCTTTATCTTATCTCTTAATTATCTTCTTTACTATTTCAAAAATCCAGTATAAATGTAAAGTAATGGTGAAAAAAACAATTTTGAGTTTAAGAAATCATTTGTGGCATATACTGTACATTCTTAATAGTCCTGGAGGTGTGTCTATTGCCCAAATATATTGTGCGGGAAGGTGTCCCTCTTTCTCATCTCAGAAAGTTGGGAGGTATGAACAAGTATGGCACTCTATAGATCTGCAAAGGCAACTAGCATTTTGAAAAGCAGAGGTCAGCAATGGCAACCTTAGGATTTTCTAAGTACAAGTTATCTTTAAGAATAAAGCTAGCCATACACTGTACAGTTTTCTTTGTTCAACCTGCGGGACAGCAGTTTCCTCCATCAATGCTTACGAACGTTGATCGAGGAATCTTCCACTGTCTTCATTGTATTCTAATGGTGGGCAGCCGCTCATTGGCTGCACACTCTGTTCGTTTGAAGATTTTCCAGCTGGCTCTTTCGATAAACTGATTGAGGGTTAGCAGCCGAAAGGGTGCCAACAGCAGCTCCCACTGTCCATTTCTTCAGGATATTTGCATGTTGTATGGCCGGCTTAGTTTAGCTGCGGCACATTGTGTATTTTGGCCCTACAAAAACAATGCAGGATAAAAGAGTGAGTAAATAAATGAAATAATTAGTAGCACTTTGATCTTTGCAGTGATTTATTTAAAGGAGAACTATGAGGTGAGTGATTTTCACTCATCTTCATAGTTCTAGCTGACGTGTGTCACACGTCGGCTCAATAGATCAGGAAGTGAGCGAACACATACCGTCACTCGCTCACTTCTCGATCATCTCCCTGCAGAGAGCTGTGACTGTCACCCACGGCTCCCTGCAGGGATTCCCCCCCCCTCCTCGCTCCGATCCTCCAGCGCTGACTGGCGGAACGGACGGGAGAGGGGGCGGGTACAGCTGGCTCTGCCTCTAGATAGGCAGAGCCAGCTGTCAATCATGCAGCTGGATGGATCTCGACAGTAACGTCGGGATCCGTCCCGGCCGTCTCAGCTACGGCTCGCGGTATACTGAGCTTTGGGTAACGGGAGGACGCTAGCTTGTGTCCTCCCGTGACCCTTAGGAGAACTATGGGGAAAAGCACTGACCCCATAGTTCTCCTTTAAAAACTGCCCAATAATGCATGGACCTGCAAATTAATATTTTTATTTTAGTTCATAATGCTCTTGCATTTGTTCCCATTTGTTAAAGCTTGCTTTTACATCGTGAGCTTTTAGTAGAATTATGATAAACCCCCAATGCGTGAAATAGCATAGCTAAGTGCTATTATGGCACCAGATAATTTGCATGTTATAAATAAAAGCACATTTCAGTCTATTGTTATCCTGATCAGCACGTTGCTCTTTCAGTTCTCTGGTATTATGCTGGCAGGGCTTATGCAAATAGGCTTTTGAACTGCCAAGCTGCAGACTTGACCGAAACATAACATGACTATCTAAGTGACATCTCAGATACATGTATAGTGCGGGCACAATGCACATTCAGCATTGGCGATATAGCTGTATAGTAAAGGCTTGCAAAGGAGGAAGGATTCCCTTTCCTAATGTGCACAGGAAAATATGAACTATTTAGCTTATAAACATTTCTCAGAGTGCAAAACCAGTGCTCCGTTGTGTTCCTTGAAAACAGGTTGGGTGCCGCCATCTTAACTCTCACACAGTATAGAGAAGGTCAACCCAGATTGTCAATCACAGTTTGTACACCAAAGAACTCTCTGCACTTCCGGTGACAGTCATTAGGAACTTATAGATCTGTGGTGACGCTTCTCAGCCTTTTGGCTAAGATCAAGTGTAGTATCTGTTCTTATCAGTTTTCGGTGGGGAAAAGAACCGTCCTTGCGGGGGATGGTTACTTAGTACTCGCTGGAGGGGAACCTCTCAGTACATGGCTTTCTGACTGAACAGATGCAAAGCTTGGTCTGGCTCGAGGGTTCGGGGGCGGCAGAAGCCCGTGGTGTTGTGCCCCCTGGGGGTGGCGTCCCAGGGGTGCGCATGGAGTCACTTGGGTGTGGGACCCCACATTGACTCACTGTGCACTTGGTCACACACCACCTTGCATTTTCTGCACATCGCCTCTTGGACAGGCCTTATGGCTAGTCCGGGGCAATATTTTTGCACTCCGGCCCCTAAGGCCTGTCAGCGTGGTGCACTGGCACTTTAGTATTATTTATTGCACTCTATGCACGATGCACGATTGACTTTTTGATTGAAATTTACCCACAGATTGCTGAAGGTGCAGGTTCCTTCGGGGCCTATTCCTGACGCTGGGAGGAGATTCTGTGCCCCCTACGGGGTTCTCTGTCTCCTCCCACCCAGGAGGTGGGTCTCTCTTCGGGAGAGCCCACTTGCCAAGTACTATGGGGGACCTGTTTCGGCAGGTCCCCAAAGGAAATGGTCCATCGGCCTTCGGGTTGGTGGACCAAAGTATCTCAACCCCTGTCAGGAGCCTTGCGCCCCGGGGGGTCGGGAAATGGGTCCCTTCTTTATTGAAGGACCTTGCACCCTTGTGCACGTTTTTGTGTGCTGTGATTTCACGGTTCACTTTTTTTGTTCACAGGGGGAAGTTTGTTTAGATGCACGTCCACGGGCTTAAAAAAAAAAAAATCTGTGGTGACGCTGGACCATTAGGAGTAGGAATCGGTTTTGATAAAGGTTTGAAAAAATGGGGATATACTCCTTGAGGGAGCTAACCCGTGATAACTCTATGTGTGTAGTGTATGGATATGGTTATGGTCCAAGGCTGCTGCCTATGTGGTCAAGATGGGGGATTACTCATCAGGAGATCAAATCGGTGATCCCGCTTGAAGGTTCATTAGGTTCATGTAGACAGAAAGAGGCTGGAGGAGATACGAGGCACTGACATCTAAAACAGGATTAAAAAAAATGGTATAAAACAGTATTTTACAGGAAAAATTATTTATGATACAAAGTGCTTTAGCAAACCGAACGTCATCCATTTAGGATTTAGATTTTGGGGTTTGTTGGGATTTTTTTTAGATGTTCTCTATGATAACATCTCATCTAGAGGTATTTCAATCTCCCATATAACCCTGTCGGTTCTGTATCAGTATCTGCAACCATTGTACTGTATATAAAGACAATCACCAGAGAATAATTTTTCTTTGTAGGAAGAGAATGGGAGGAGGCCAGGGAATGCCCAGAGCATGCTAATGACCTGGATTTCCATCACTTAGAGGAGACATCCCCTTGTACAGTTCCACATTCCATACAGGGCAGTGGAGGGGAGGGATACTTAGGATGAGGAGGAGGGAGGCTGTTGGGGTCCAGCTCAAACTTCTACCAAGTTCACAAACGGTCGCTGTTCAGGAGCTGAGAACCTACACTGAGACATGAATGTGGATTTCAGAGCCATGACAGATATGGGGAGGAGAGTACACCCCTGGGGCTACTGGTAAGGAAAGCTTATATCAATCCTATGGGCAGAGTTGTACATTCAGGTTACTGTATCTAATGCTTGTGGGATAGAATGCAACCATTCTTTACAACAAGATGACTCTTTCTGGATTCCTTCTGCTTTAAATAAGTTGACTGAGCAGACTATAACTAAACCCAGTGTGTTTATATTACAGCGGTGATGACATGTTACTGTAGGAATTCAGATTTCAGAGCATCTCCTCTGTAGAACCTCTTTGTGCGAGTCTCATTATGGGTTTATGTGCAAAAAGCGAAAGCTCAGCGAGATTTCAGCCGTTTTCACGGGCAGTGTATTTATTTTATGCAGCGGCTACGAGAGCCTTAGCTGGGCTTCTGGCCAACTGAAGGGGTACGCAGTTCAGAAGAAATGAGAATGTACAGTATGGTACATTGCATACACAGTCAGATGAAGAGCAAGCAATGCAATACATTCAAGCTTTGCTTGGGGCAATCAGGCCATAGAGGGGTTACCTGGAGATCAATGACATGTTTTAGAAGATCTTATCATTGGATGACAGAGACATTCCTATATATTGAGATATGAGTGTGACTGAGCTCCTATCTGTCCCTGTTCTACAAAGGAAAAGGCAATGAAGCTTTCTCAATGCCTGCATCACATAGATAAGATTGTTTCACTATTCTGGTTGAATCTAACCATTCTCTGCTACTTACTACCACCATTTGGATCTAGTGGGATCGACTTAGTAAGACTGAATTGAAGAC